GTAGCCTGCAGTGTGCCGGCACTGCAGCCTGCAGTGTTCCGGTACTGTAGCCTGCAGTGTGCCGGCACTGTAGCCTGCAGTGTGCCGGCACTGTAGCCTGCAGTGTGCCGGCACTGCAGCCTGCAGTGTTCCGGTACTGTAGCCTGCAGTGTGCCGGCAATGTAGCCTTCAGTGTGCCGGCACTGTAGCCTGCAGTGTGCCAGCACTGCAGCCTGCAGTGTGCCGGCACTGTATCCTGCAGTGTGGCGGCTTCAGCTGCCACACTGCAAATTAAGTGAATGATTATCAGGGTAATGTAGTCATAGGCTTTTAGTTTTATCCTACAGACGATTGTCTAGCGTTGTGTTTATCTGGGTAATGATTCTATTGACGACGACCTTACAAGCAGTAACTTAACACAAGTAACCCGCAAACAGAAGAGAGGAGCTTACGATGATGTTTCGGTCCTACTTGAACCATTTACAAAGTCACTTTGTAAATGGTCCAAGTCGAACCGAAATGTCGGGTTATTTGTGTAGTTTTCCAGTCACGGTATTGTGCCTATTTGTTATATAATCAGTAACTAAGAAAACGGTGAATATGATATTTTTCTAAATAAGGTACAATGTGCCCGAAGTATATATATATATATTTACAATAGAGAAATTAAACTGAATAAAAAATGATCCCAGATGAATAAATAGGAGACTAAATTTACAGGCGCATCAAATAAGAAGTGTGCCACTCTGTGGGTCAACATGTTCACATTAAAAGAAAGGGAATGAAAAGGATAAAAAGGTGAAACCAAATAGTGAGTCAAAGACAAATCTCAAAGCGTACAGGACAAAAACGAGGAAAAAATAGGCCACTTATTACTAGATCTGGACAACTTTCTAATAATCAGCGTAAATTAAGGCCTCTTCAAGAGTTATTTCCTGTCTTCAAGGATGAAAATATTAATGATATTCTAGCAGTTAATAATTACAGAGGGTCTGAAGAAAATAAATTAACATTACCGACAAGATCGTGGATAAAACAGATGAGCAACACCTAGTCATCTTTATTGGGGAAAGGTTTCACCAGTGCAAAAGTAATTATGAATACCTAGTCATCTTTATTGAGAGAAGGTTTCACCAGTGCAAAAGTAATTATGAATACCTAGTCATCTTTATTGAGAGAAGGTTTCACCAGTGCAAAAGTAATTATGAATACCTAATCATCTTTATTGGGGGAAGGTTTCACCAGTGCAAAAGTAATTATGAATACCTAATCATCTTTATTGGGGAAAGGTTTCACCAGTGCAAAAGTAATTATGAATACCTAGTCATCTTTATTGGGGAAAGGTTTCACCAGTGCAAAAGTAATTATGAATACCTAATCATCTTTATTGGGGAAAGGTTTCACCAGTGCAAAAGTAATTATGAATACCTAGTCATCTTTATTGGGGAAAGGTTTCACCAGTGCAAAAGTAATTATGAATACCTAGTCATCTTTATTGGGGGAAGGTTTCACCAGTGCAAAAGTAATTATGAATACCTAATCATCTTTATTGGGGGAAGGTTTCACCAGTGCAAAAGTAATTATGAATACGTCATAGAAACATGAGGATGGAAATATATATCTTAGAGCCAGAGGAAAGTTGCATCAGTAGAAGACATCACATGTTGGCGGAGCCATTTAGTTTACCTGGAGTTTACCTGGAGAGAGTTCCGGGGGTCAACGCCCCCGCGGCCCGGTCTGTGACCAGGCCTCCTGGTGGATCAGAGCCTGATCAACCAGGCTGTTACTGCTGGCTGCACGCAAACCAACGTACGAGCCACAGCCCGGCTGGTCAGGAACCGACTTTAGGTGCTTGTCCAGTGCCAGCTTGAAGACTGCCAGGGGTCTGTTGGTAATCCCCCTTATGTATGCTGGGAGGCAGTTGAACAGTCTCGGGCCCCTGACAGTTATTGTATGGTCTCTTAACGTGCTAGTGACACCCCTGCTTTTCATTGGGGGAATGTTGCATCGTCTGCCGAGTCTTTTGCTTTCGTTTTGAGTGATTTTCGTGTGCAAGTTCGATACTGGTCCCTCTAGGATTTTCCAGGTGTATATAATCATGTATCTCTCCCGCCTGCGTTCCAGGGAATACAGGTTTAGGAACCTCAAGCGCTCCCAGTAATTGAGGTGTTTTATCTCCGTTATGCGCGCCGTGAAGGTTCTCTGTACATTTTCTAGGTCAGCAATTTCACCTGCCTTGAAAGGTGCTGTTAGTGTGCAGCAATATTCCAGCCTAGATAGAACAAGTGACCTGAAAAGTGTCATCATGGGCTTGGCCTCCCTAGTTTTGAAGGTTCTCATTATCCATCCTGTCATTTTTCTAGCAGATGCGATTGATACAATGTTATGGTCCTTGAAGGTGAGATCCTCCGACATGATCACTCCCAGGTCTTTGACGTTGGTGTTTCGCTCTATTTTGTGGCCAGAATTTGTTTTGTACGTTGATGAAGATTTAATTTTCTCGTGTTTACCATATCTGAGTAATTGAAATTTCTCATCGTTGAACTTCATATTGTTTTCTGCAGATTTGGTTGATGTCCGCCTGGAGCCTTGCAGTGTCTGCAATGGAAGACACTGTCATGCAGATTCGGGTGTCATCTGCAAAGGAAGACACGGTGCTGTGGCTGACATCCTTGTCTATGTCGGATATGAGGATGAGGAACAAGATGGGAGCGAGTACTGTGCCTTGTGGAACAGAGCTTTTCACCGTAGCTGCCTCGGACTTTATTCTGTTGACGACTACTCTCTGTGTTCTGTTAGTGAGGAAATTATAGATCCATCGACCGACTTTTCCTATTATTCCTTTAGCACGCATTTTGTGCGCTATTACGCCATGGTCACACTTGTCGAAGGCTTTTGCAAAGTCTGTATATAATACATCTGCATTCTTTTTAGTGGAGCAAGTCATAACCGTTGTGACTTGTATGTAATCGTTTTGTTACGATTTCGTGAGCCATGGTGTTAGAGGTATTTGTAAACAAAGCCTGGCTACTTCAACATCAGTTTGTTCACATTGCAAGCTCCTCCATAAATATGCTTATCTATGTTCATGTTATCATGGTGAGTGACAGACCTGCAAAGGCATTTCTTTGACATTTCCTTTTACCATTTACTTCACTCCTAATATTATTCCTAATGCAAGACACAGATATACCACTAATACTATTCGTTTCCCTTTAGGGCACTTTGTCTAACATATCAACTTATCATTACGGAGTAATTCACTGCTTGATGGAATCTATAAAAAAATGTGCTTCGGGAGCATCTTACCTGGTTTCTCTAATAAACTGTTGTTAGAGTCTTATGTGAGTCAAGTACCTCACTCATCCCATTAGTATGAAAAAAAATTCAGTTTGCAGTGTAAACACTGTTGTTAAATTTATATAACTAACTCAGCATCGTTTTAAAGTTCTTAACTAGGGAGGTAGTAACAAGCGCAGATGAAGTTCTGTTTAAGATCCATCAGTATATACATTTTGTGTATATAACAGTTAATTTATGACATATAATAAAACATTTAATAAGAGTTAAATTAAGCAGGATTTTTTTCTTGCGCAGTTAAAGTGATTTAAGGAAGGGATTACTATAGATAAACTTCATTTGGGAAAGGGGGTTTCAGATATGTGATTTCAGTTGGATATTGGGAAGGTGGGTTGACAAGTGTGAATTATTTTAAGCAGGGATGATGTGTGAGGATAAGGAAGGTTGTACATGATGGCCACCAGGCCCGGTGGCCTGGTGGCTAAAGCTTCCGCTTCACACACGGAGGGCCCGGGTTCGATTCCGGCGGGTGGAAACATTTCGACACGTTTCCTTACACCTGTTGTCCTGTTCACCTAGCAGCAAATAGGTACCTGGGTGTTAGTCGACTGGTGTGGGTCGCATCCTGGGGGACAAGATTAAGGACCCCAATGGAAATAAGTTAGACAGTCCTCGATGACGCACTGACTTTCTTGGGTTATCCTGGGTGGCTAACCCTCCGGGGTTAAAAATCCGAACGAAATCTTATCTTATCTTATCTAGTGAGGAAGGTGTGAGCTGGATGGTTGGTGGTAGTGCTTTGTCAGAGGTGGGAAACTTTCCTTAATGTGAATCACAGCCATATAGATGGTCCACCCACTGAAGCCCATAATAATCTGATAGAGACCTGATGGTCTGTTCTTCCACACCATAGAAAGAAAAAATTACATTGACAAATATGATGGCAGGTTTCCCACTATATATGAAAGAAAAATTATACCACACGGATGGTGACGGGGACTGAAATTGTAAGAGCCTCCTCTTACAATTTCAGTCCCCATGACCATCCGTGTGGTACACAGGTTATACAGGGCTTTGTGGTATTGGGTTACCGAGGGATAAGAAGTCATTTTTGGGGAGTTGATTAAATGTGTTTGTGTGACCTTATGACATACTGCCCCATTTTAAAATGGGCTTTTTGATAAGGTCTCTGTTATTAGTTTGTCATAATCTCCAGCTCTCTCAATTTGTGAAAATTATGTTTTTATTACAGATTTTATTTACATGTTTAACAATCGTCAGGTTCCTTAACAATCGTTTAACAATCGTCAGGTTCCTTATATGCCATTCCTGCAATTATCTTTTTATTTCGTCCATTATTTTTAAAAATTTAATCGTATATTCTAAACAGTGCTAAAGTGTGATTGTTGCTAATGAAGAATTGTTGGAGTGTTACTTTAATGGCTGCAGTAGTGTTGGAGGGGTAAGGTTCATAGTAATTACTGAGTTATTGGTGGAGGAGTGAGTGATTACATTGATGGTAACACTGAAGAAGGGGGATGATAGTGATGGTTGCAGTTGTGTGTGTAAGAGTGGTAACAGTGGTAGTATTTTTGGAGAAGGCAAGTTGGTAACAGTATTGGAAGAGTAAAATTTATTAATGATAATGAAATAAGTAGGAATTGAGGCAAGAGTAGTTTTGGAGAACTGAGAGTCGTAATACAAACAGTGGAAATACTCACTCCCAAATTTTACATCTAAGGGTTTTGTCAACCAGTTTAGCGAGCTCAACGAATTGACTATTTGTAAGTCTGGTGGAGTCTGGAACTTTGATCTCCTCCCTGACCTTGACTCCGCTGTGATCAAGGCTCTCCACGAAGTGACGCCAGCCTTCTTCTGTGAGTATGGCGCCGGGGAACTCCAGGGAATAGTACCTGTTGATGAAGACACACCTGTAGTTACCTGCTGCTCCCCTCCTTGTTAATGAAGACACCTGTAGGTACCTGCTGCTCACCTGCTTGTTAGTGGTGACGTTCTCTACATTTGTACATGTGCAGACAAGGCATAATGAAAGCTGGAATGTGAACCTCTGTGGTAGCATTCCCATACCTTACCTCTATGCCCCGAAGGTACTTATTATTATCTAAACTAAGCACCAAACCACCAGGGTTATACAGGGCTGTGAAATACTTCAATCAATCAATCAAGTTTAATTCTTTTATAAAGATTACAATGCGGGACTTAAACATTATAGAATATTGGTTACAATTTGTGGTGTACATATTATAAAATACTAATTACAGAGAGAGCCACTATCACGCCTAGCATGACTAGGCTTTTTCGGGCAGACTAAGGTTAATTCAACTCTAATTGGTACAGATTATGGAGATGTTGATATTAAGGCTAGGTAGCTGGATTACAGTTCGTAAATTTAGCAATGTGAATGGTTTTGTCTAGGTATGATACCCAGTTTCTATTATAAACTTCTGTATTGGAGTATCTCAGGCAAACCTATCACTAGTTTAAGATTCATTAGGTAATAGTTTTATTACGTATTTCTATTTTTACAGTCAATTGGGAGAGTGAAGTGTGAATTGTGGGGAATCACAAATATCGACAGTAGGTCTAGTTTTTTTTTTTTGTGTTTACGATACAAGAGAATAGGCGGTTTTCATGTAGTTAGCTGACGGTGGGGTGTGTCAGGGAGACAAGATGTTTTCTAACGGAAGTTTTGAAAGTGATGATTGTGTCTGCAGTTCTAGCATTTTCAGGTAAGGTGTTCCAGATTTTAGGTCCTTTTATGTACATTAAATTTTTGTACAGGTTTAGCCAAACACGGGGAATGTTAGAGGTTTTTGTGCCTGATATTATGCCTATCCTAGGTAGTAGGTTGGTAGACAGCAACCGCCCAGGGAGGTACTACCGTCCTGCCAAGTGAGTGTAAAACGGAAGCCTGTAATTATTTTACGTGATGGTAGGATTGCTGGTGTCTTTTTTTTGTCTCATACACATGCAAGATTTCAGGAACATCTTGCTACTTCTACTTACACTTACACTTAGGTCACACTACACATACATGTACAAGCTTATATATACACACCCTTCTGGGTTTTCTTCTATTTTCTTTCAGGTTCTTGTTCTTGTTTATTTCCTCTTATCTACATGGGGAAGTGGAACAGAATTCTTCTTCCGTAAGCCTTGCGTGTTGTAAGAGGCAACTAAAATGCCGGGATCAAGAGGCTAGTAACCCCTTCTCCTGTATATATTACTAAATGTAAAAGGAGAAACTTTCGTTTTTCCTTTAGGGCCACCCCGCCTCGGTGGGATACGGCCGGTGTGTTGAAAGAAATATATGCCTATGGGTCCCGTCACAACTATCAAGAAAGTGTTTTAGTTCAGTGTTAATATTGGAATTTATGATTCTGTTAATGTAGGTTGCACAGTAGGAAGTGTGGATGCTTTGAATAATGAGTTTAGATCTTTGAAGAGGGGAGTGGGGTTGCCTGGGATTAGATTGCGTGATTATTCTTACTGCGACTTTTGTTGGGTTATTATTGGCTTTAAGTGTGTTGCTGCTGTCGAACCCCAAGCACAAATTGCATAGGTGAGGTAGGGATAGATGAGTGAATAGTATAGTGAGAGTAGGACAGATTGTGACAGTAACGTATCATGAAGAGGATCCCAACCGTTTTGGATACTTTTTTTATGTATTGGATATGGGTGCTGAATTTCAAGTTGCTGTCGAGGTGTAGGCCCAAGAATTTGCCCTCATTATGTTTGGCAATAAAAGTGTTATCGATCTTAATGTTCTGTTGCGCAACACTTGCTCTGTTACCAAACATAATATAGAAGGTTTTGTCATTGTTTAGTGTAAGTTTATTGGTTGTTATCCAAGTAGATATTTTGAGCAGTTCCTCGTTAACAACAGTGTTGAGGGTGGCAAGATTTGGGTGGGAGATGACATAAGTCGTGTTGTCAGCAAAGAGAATGGGTTTCAGGTGTTGTGATACGTTGGGATGATTATTGATATATAAGAGGAAGATTATTATTATTTTTTATAATCAAAAAGAAGCGCTAATATAAGAGGAAGAGCAAGGGACCAAGGACACTTCTCTGTGGTACTCCAGTATCAAGAGGCCGTGTTGATGAGGTTGTGTCTTTAATGGTGACATACTGATATCTATTAGTAAGGTAGGATTTGAAATATGCAAGTGCATGGCCTCTTATACCATAATGGTCAAATTTGTGGAGTAGGATGTCGTGATCTACTGTGTCAAAAGCTTTTCTTAGTCCAATAAAAAAATCCTAATGGATATTCCTTATTTTCCAGTGCTGTGTAAAGCAGATCGAGCATTTTTACAATTGTATCGTTTGTGCTTTAATTTTTTCTGAAGCTAAATTGGCAGGAGTTGAGTATGCTTTGTTCTGTTATAAACTAACATAATCTCTTGTGCACGAGTTTCTCGAAGATTTTGGATAACAATGATAAGTTTGAAATTGACCTATAGTTGTTTACATCTGTGGGTTCACCACCTTTTTTGTGTAAATAGTTGTAATGGTGGTACTAATAATAGGCTGACACTATATATCATGTTGGTGCAATAAAGCTACCCAACCCTCTGATCAAACTGGTCAAATGTGAATATTTTGTTTTGGTGAAAGGCTTCCGAAATTAATATTACAACTACTATTATTATTGTCGCTAGTACTGCTGTGGTTATTGTGATTATAATTGTTATTATTACCACTATTATTTAACTTGATATTGTAAATTATTTCCACCCTTTTCTCTCTGCAACTGTAAATACGGTCAGAGAATAATTAATATATACAGGGCAACATCTGTAAATAATTTACTAACATTCGTATTACTGTAAAAGTTGTAAATTAACTAAAGAAATTTATTAAAGTATGACCATTCTAGCTTAGTGATGTTCCATTGCCAGTGGTTCCAATATTATTATAAACAAAATAAAGCGCTAAACCTACTAGGGTCATAGAGCACTGCAGAGCACGAGGTTTTGCATGGATCAAAGAGCAGCAAGAATGGAGAGGAGAACAGAAGTAGAGATATAAATGGGCTGTGAGGAGTCCGAAAGGAAGTATCATCAAAATTTGTATAGTAAATCAACTGCTGTCAAAAACTCAACGAGGGAGTCTAGGTTAAGCATGGGTCCGTCATCAAGGAGGGAAGATAAAGTCAGGGCGTTAGAGCGGCGAAGACTTCGGAGGTAAGTTTACAATGCTCACTGATAGACCAGAGAGTCCATGAGAATATGGCAAACCGAAACTGGAACCTGACAATTCTCACTGAGTGGATAACGGTGCCTCTCCATGAGATACCCGTGAGTAAGACGAGTGTGTCCGATGCAAAGACGAGAGAGTGTAGTCTCCCAACCTCAGTATCGATGACAAGATGTACAGAAATAAATAACAAAAAGGCACAATACCGTGACTGGAACAATACACAAATAACCTGCACATAAAAGAGAGAAGCTTACGACGACGTTTCAGTCCGACTTGGACCATTGACAAAGTCACACTAATAGAGGTGGAGCAGGACGGCTATATATAGGCAGGAAGAGGTGGTAGTAGTAGTAGTACAAGAATTGTATATAATACGGACAGGATGAAATTAAGACACATGCACAACACCCGGGCATCCCCATCGTAGACGTTTCGCCATCCAGCCAGCCACTGGATGGCGAAACGTCCACAACAAAGACAACCAGACGCCGCACATGTGTCTTAATTTCAACAGTAGTTGTATGAAGAAGAAGGGTAGTATAGTAGTGGTAGCGGAAGAGTGGGAAATAAGGAAGACGAGCCAGTCAAATACAAAGGAAGGGGAGCACTGCAAGAGAGCTAGAAACCACAGAGGAGAGCAAGCGCACAGAGGTGCGTGAAAGGGGAAGTGGTGAAATAAAATAAATAAGAAGGAACAGAAACACGAGACAGGAGAGAGAAAGAACAACCCAGAGGAGAAAAGGAAGAGGAAAGGAGAAGAGGAAGAAGAAAAAAAAAAAGAAAAAGTGAGGATTCAGGTTTAAAGTCACGGGTGTTCTGAAGTTTGGAGCATTTTACAATGTAGTGGGAGAGGAAGGCATCTACAGAGACGAAGCCAGGGCTAAGTTCATACAAGGAAAGTTGTGTATTAGAGAGGATTCAACTAGACGGCGACTGTCGAGTTGGAAGTAGGGAAGACAGTTTAGCAGAAGACCAGTCAATAGATGGCTATGATCTCTGACGTGATAGAAAAGAGCTTGTTAGTGTCGGCAACCCTAACACTATTTTTGTGCTCCCTAAGTCTGCAGAAAGAGATCGACCATTTCTCCGAAGTATTGAAGAGGGACAGGAGGAGCAAGAAATAGAGTAGACCCAGGAACATCTGTAGGGGGAGGAGAGGTATGAACGAGATTAGTGCGAAGAGTGTTAGTCTGGCGGAAGGTAAGCTTAATGTCAAAGGACGGAGAGAATTGTTGAGATTAGAAAGACCGGAAATGTAGGGAAGGCAGAGGATAGAAGAGTTCCCATGATTTAGAGAGTTTGGGAGAGAAGAAATTGCGTTTAGCACGTGAGAGGGCAGAGTCTATTGAAATGGGAAGGGTAGCCAAGACGGGAGAACGAATTATGAAGAGTGGAAATTTTGCTGGAAGGAACTGAGGATCACAGATGGGGAGGGCACGGAGAAAGAGGGAGATAAGAACACTTTTCTTGACAGGGGAAGCATGATAGGAAAAGTAGTGAATGTACATGCCACTGGCATAGGGTTTTCGGTAAACGGAAAAAGGGAAAAACCTGTATCTGAGCGGTGGAATGGACATCAAGGAAAGGAAGTAAGGAATTAGATTCCCTTCAGCTTTTAAAATTAAAGGAAGGGGCCAAGATTAAATTTAAAGGGTTCAAGAAAAGGTTGGAAGAGACTGGAGTCATG